TCCTCCTCCTCCTCCTCCTCCTCCTCCTCCTCCTCCTTGCCCGAGGAGGAGGAGGAGGAGGAGGAGGAGGAGGAGGAGGAGGAGGAGGAGGAGGAGGAGGAGGAGGAGAGGAGGAGGAGGAGGAGGAGGACTTCCCCCGCTTCCCGGAGGGCGCGGTCACCCGCCCGGGCGCGCGCGTGCGCGCGGCACGCTGGGGCAGCCGCTCGTGGTTCAGGGCCTCCTCCGCGGTCTGGAAGCGCCTGGGGGTCGAGGCGGGGGAGGAGAGGCGGAGGGGCGGGGGAAGGGCAGGAGGCGCAGGAGGAGAAGGGGGGGAAGAGGGAGGCATCGGGGGGGATGGAGGGGAGGGAGGACGGGGAAGGGGGGGGAGCGGAGGCAGAAGAGGGGGGAGCCGAGGACGAGAAAGAGACACACGAAGCTCAACGCCCAGCCGCCGCCGTGCGACGTCGGGAGGCTGGCTGGCCGCGCGCGCACACCAAGCTGGGCCTGCAGCGATCCCGTCAAGAACGCTCTGTCGGTCTACGTGGAGGGGGAGGAGGAGGAGGAGGAGGAGGAGGAGGAGGAGGAGGAGGAGGAGGAGGAGGAGGAGCGACCGCACCAAGAAAGGACGAGACGAGGGCAAGCGGGCAAGACGCGAGGAGAGGGCAAGTGACCGCGCGTCCGCTGGTCTGTCTATGGCCGCATCACGTGCCGTGCAGTAGCTAGGCACTCAGTGCCTGTAGTGTAAAGAAGCGCGGCGCTCGATGATACGCAGTTTGTGATAGAAATGAAAGGACAATGCCGTCCTTCGGACGGCTTCCGGTACAGAGTGCTCAGGATTGGTGTGCTGCTCTTCCGATCCAAGGCCGATGCGTACAAGAGGGTCGGGGGAAAGGAAGGAGCGGGGTAACGCAAGGAAGTGCAGAAGGCGGGGACAGGCGAGGTAATGGCCGAGGCGATCGGGGCAGGCTTCGCATCCGAGGAGGCAAGTCTTGCGCGGGCCGAACGGGAAGCGGTGTGACGTCTACCACGCCCCTGCGAGGGTTTTGTAAACTGCCCAGCGTATGGCTGGGGCCTTGCGCGACAGATGGCTGGAGAGCACTTGCCATCGCGCAGACAAATATCGTGGCAGGGTGGGGTCGGGCAGAGCGGCGCGAAGGCGGCGTGCTAGGGTCTCAGCAAAGGTGTCAGGGAAGAGGGAGGCGTGGAGGACAGAAAAAAGGGATCGCTGGACCCTTGCCCGCCGCGCGTCGCGAGCTGCGGAGGATTTTTCGTCATCCGCAGCTCGTTCGGCATGCATCCAAGTGGCAGGTGGCACCTTATACGGTGGCGTGCCATCAGCGAGACTGCGCCAGTATTCAACAATACCGTAGCCTTTCCAAAACAACGGCGAGACGGTGGCCCGACTACGGGCCTCGGCCAGGGAGGCGAGGGACAGTTCTGGATTGAGCTGGTCCTGGGCAGATACTATCGCACGATATAGCGGGCGCCCGTCAGGAAGCGTGTCGGTGGCCGTGCGCCACGCAGAAGCGAGAGAGAGCGTAACTAAGGAAGTGGGGGAGGACGAAGCCGACCACGGACGAGTGCCGAGGAGGTCGACGAGGCGCCAGGAGTTGAGGGGAGAACGCAGTATCTTGTGCAGCGTGCCGCGTTCATGTCTCAGAAACGTGGTCGGAAAAGGAAAGTACTGTGTGAGGTACGACAGTACCGTGATCACGCAGGTATCGTATAATTTGATGGCAACTGCTGGGCCTGGCGCGCTCGCTGCGAGTTGCACTACTCGGAGCCAGTATTTGTCAAAAGCTGCTTTCCATTGAATGTCTCAAGTGACGCCTGGGCCTATGAGTACGCCTAAATAGCGGGCGTACTCTGCAATGTGGATATCTTTCCATTCTGGGGTGAGAAAGGCTAGCAGGCGCTGAGTAAGAGACTGTACGACTGGCGAAAAGTGGGCCCAAAGAGGGACAATCACCGTCTTCTGGATCTGGAGTTCGGGTCCTGCGAGGCTAGCTATGGCCCGAAAAGGGGGGAGGAGGTAAGGGAGGGTCCCCAGGCGAGCGAGAACGAGGCCCAGATCATCTGCGCAGGCTCCGAGCTTATTCGACCCAGGCAGTGAAGCTAGAATGCGGGTGAGATGACGAATGGGGGCATCAAAGGCCAGGGCCCAAATGGACCCAGAGAGCGGGCACCCTTGGAGCACTCCTGAACCGATTTCAAACATTTATTGCAACTGGCCACGGGCCCATGCACCTGGGGAGTGGTATAAAGCATGAATCGCGCTAAGGTGTCCAGGGGGGACACCGTGCGCAACCAGAGAAGCACATGCAAACCCCCATCCCAGAGATGGGAAGGCTGCTGCTATGTCGAAACTAATCAGAATCGGGAGGGCATCTAGGGCAACTGGGGAGTGACCTGCTCTACGGGCCTCAGAATCAAGTGTCAGTACGTGTTGCCCAAAGTTCCTACCTTTGACGAAGGTCTGCTGTGTGTCTATCGTACGCTCTCGTACCATATCGACCAAGCCCATGTTCACGACGTGAGCGATCAGCTTAGCATCGCAATTCTGTAAGGAGAGGGGGCGAGTGGCACCTGGGGCACGGAAGACGGCATAAGGGTCCTGAGGGTCATCTCCTTTCGGGGGAAAGGCGAAGACGGAGTCGTTGAACTGGTGGGGCGCCAGTCCTGTTTCAAACATCTGCATCATCAGGTCGTAAAGGATTTCGGACGAACCAGGAGAGGCGGCCCATGCAGCATATGGAATTTGATCTGGGCCAGGAGCAGTATGTCTAACCTTGCGGAGGGCCTTCTGGAAATCGTGAACTGCTGGAACCCTGAGGTCCGCATGCTCGAACTTGGGGAGGTGCGCATTCAGGTAGTCTTGGACCGCCGCGGGGTCCACATGCTCGTGCGAGAAGATGGGCTGCCAGAAATTCTGAAGGCCTTCAAGGATTCCCTGAGGTGTGCTCGTGACGCTAGGGGTGGGAACGGTGGGGCCTTCTTTTGGGATCCCAAGTCCTGCAAGTACGAGACGGCGTCTGAACGGGTTCCACGCCTGGGCCCGCCGGGTGAGCTGCATGGCGGCGCGCCTGCTCCCAGCTTGGTCCATCTGCTCGGCGGCATGGCTCTGCTGGCGCTCGGTGGCGAGGGCAACGCGGCGACCGTAGTCGGCGGTGGCCGTGTTGTCCATCAGCTGGATGAAGGCGTCTCTGTTCGTGAGTTCGGGGCCGCTCTCGGTGATGCACAAGTGTGTTCGTCCAATCTCTGTGGTCGCCATCAGAAGCGTCGCAATGTCCTTGTCCTTGCGCCATATGGTGCGAGCAATAGCCCGTAATGCAGTCAGCCGTCCGTGCTTCGCCCACCGGCTGAGGTCCTGAAGCGATGCACGCTGTTGAAGATTGCGAGTAAGACGAGCAGCCTCTTTGATAATGAGTTTGTGTTGTTTCCATGCAGAAGTAGGCGTGTGATGAGCTTGAGCCACGTGATCTTTCAGGAAGTTGAAGTGCACCTAGTACGAGGGGTCGTGGAAAATGTTCGGGTCGATGGTCTGTTCCTCTGGGTGAGCCGCCGTCACATTTGCGAGTGCCATGTGGAGGATCGCGTGATCGCTGAGGCCCTTGTCCGAAAGTGCAGCTCCATCCTTGTGGATCTTCAAATGCGCGTCGACATTCATGAGGTCGATGCCAGAGAGAGATATGAATATGCGATCGATGGCTGTCGCAGCCTGAGTGTTCGGCGAGAAGTGCGTGGGCAAGTCGTGGGTGATCTCCGTGAGAGACGCAAAGAGCTGACGCCAACGTGCTTGTTCCCGTTGGCATTGACCGCCAGGGGCCATCGGTCGCCAGCGAACTGACGGATCCTTGAAGTTAAATGAGGGTACGGCGCTGGCGTTCAAGTCGCCCATGGCAATGAAGACGCGTTGCTGTGGCGAATGAGCTGCCAACCTCCGTGAAGCATGCCACGCTTCTGTCACATGTATCATGTCCGCTGCCGCCAAGTCATGATTGTGAGCGTTCATGAGAAGCGTTTCGAAGCCTGTGTTGTGATTCGCAATGTATAGCACTGCCGCCCGTCCTCTGATGATGGGCCACATGGGGACGGTGGTGTCCTCGGCGGCAGCCGCTGGAGCCAGGAAGGCCAGACCGCCTTTGCCTCTGCTGGAAGGGTATCCGCTAAAGTAGACATCATATCGGTAAGGGAGCTTGTCAATGTGAGATTGGAGGTCTAACAGCGATCCGTGCACCTCCTGTATTGCCACCAGTGGTTGCTTCTTCAGAAATGGAGAGAGCTGTCTGATCTTCGCCCATCGTTTGCGATCGTCATGACAAAGAAGGCCTCGTGCGTTCCAGCAGATGTGATGCCCCGAAGAGTCCTGCGGTGCTGCTGCAGGTGAAGTACGGGAAGTGCGCGATGGCGGGGCCGTGCTGGCGGAGAACTCGACGAGGAGGGGCTTGAGGAAGAGGTGCAACTGCTTGGGGATGAGGCAGATGAAGTGCTGGTGCTGTGCTCAGAGCCCGCATCGTCTCTAAGGTGGCGCGGGGATGAAGGGGGCGCAGCTCGTACTGGTAGGGGTAGTGCTTGTGACGGATGCCGTAGGTCGTGCTGCGCCAACAGACTGTCATTACCGCTGGGAGGTGGGCTCCCCATGCCCTGAGCATCAGAAGTATTATCTGTGGGGCACTCCAGTCCTCCCAGGCCAACAGGGGTGTCCTGATCCCCTTGGGCAAGAGGGCTTGGAGAAGCAACAGCGCGCGGGCTTCCCATGCCCGTGGGAACTGAAATAATTTCTGGAAGGCTCACCAGTCCCTCGGGGACAACTGGGGCGCCCCGATCCCCCTGAGCACGAACGCGCGGAAGTTCGGCAGTGCGTGGGCTTCCCATGCCCGAGGAAACTGAAATATTATCTGGAGGGCACTCCAGTCCCTCGGGGACAGCAGGGGTGTCCCGATCCCCCTGAGAAGGTAGACAGGGCACTTCCTGCGCTGCAGGCGCCTGGCGATTCGGGGGTACACATTCAGCAGCTGGCTGAGCATGATGATGAGGCTGTGGTACGGCATCGTCAAGTGCGAGGACAGGTCGTAAATGGCGAAGTGGGTGGAGGCGCGCCCCTGGTTCAACAGTGGATCCTGGTGGCCGAGCCTGATCTGATTCCGAGTTCGAATGACGCCATGGAGTCCATCTCTTGTTAAAGCCACTGCACTGTATCCCCGGCCTTGTAGAGAGCGGCAAATTCTGCAGCGATGGGGCTCTTGTCGACGGGTACCTT